GAGAGAGAGAGAGAAAGGGTGCCGAGTTTCGCGTTTACGCACCTGCCCCTCATACCACGTCCCTACCTAAGCCTCCTGCGTTCAACCTGCGCGGCATCGCCTCATAGGTACTGGTAGATAGGATACCAACGAAACCCCCGCGCGTGCCCTCTCGGCTCTCCCTCTCACCGCTCGCTCTCTCGGACTACCTGTCGGTCCTGCTCTAGCGACCGCAAGCCGGTCAGGTACCCGTCTCTCTTCCACCAAAGGCGGCTCTAGAGCGAGGCGGCTGCGAGTTGCGACGCAGCATCCAGCAGCAGCGCTACTAGCGGCAGCCAAACGGAAAGACTCCCAGGCGAGTCGCCCAGGTGTATGGGTGTGTACCGATGTGTGGCGTGCGCGCGCGCGCGCGCGTGTAGACGTGCATGAGCCTTACCTGCGTGGGTGTGTGAGCCGAGGAAGCCTACCTGGCGGCGTCCGACCACGCAGTTACCCGCGCGCTTCTCCGCGTTCTCCCGCAGGAAAGAGCGCTGCCGCGCGCGTACCGCCATCCCGCTCCGGTTGTCGTCCTCTCGAGTCGGAGCCGCGGGAGTTGCGCTTCTCCGAGGGAGACCGACCTTGGGAGAGAGGAGCGAGTTCTCGCGTCGCGTCGCGCGCGCGTTGCTCCTTTCGCGAGCCACACGCCGGCCGAGATCGGCGGAGCAGAATCGGAAGTGCGCGACCAAAGGAATCGCGCGCTGCTGCTACTCGCCGCGACCTGCAGTGTATGTGTGTTACGTGTACACGGGAGGAAGATAAGGGAAGTGATAAGGACCTCTAAAAATTGCCTCTAAAAATTTTACGTCGTGTGTCGCAGTGAATGTCCGTGAGGTGGTACGACGGATATTTCGATCGCTAATCACCGGACTATCGGCCAATAAGGGATTTCGAGCGGAAAAGGAGATGCGTTGGTGGTTTGTTGGAGGACACTGAATTAGGAGACCTGGAATTAGGCTCCTCGCTCAACGTCCTCCAGGTGAGAAGGATTTCTTCTTGGCAAACATCTATCGAGAGGTTCCAGAAGGATTCCGTAGGACAATCGCGTGTCTGCCTCGTTGCGTCCCTACGGACATTCGCAATTTCAACATGGCTGCTGGGACTAGCCGTGACCGCTGGGTCCGCGGAAGCCATGTTGGCAGGTGTGCTCGGCTCGAGATAACCAGTTCATGTTCGTAAAACGTATGCGGCACCGATACTCCGAATGGTAGACCGGAATGAGCACTTTATTATTAAATTATCATTTAAATTGCCGCGCGCCTGCCGCTCTGCGAAATGTGCACCTGTGAGACAATATATGCGCGATTTCGCAAATAAAACGAGTATGCGAGAAATGTGATTAATAAAAAGAAAAAAAAAAAGTCTCTTTCGAACGCTGTCCGTACTCATTTCCTACACGATTGCGAAAGTTTGCGGTAAGCTGCTACGCAGTGTGGTTTATCTCTTGATGTCCATTAAACATTCGTAAAATCCATTGAACTAAACTTTCCGATCGCTTATTCTCTATTTCTTAAATAATAAAGAATTAAATTATACATCGAGGAATGTGTTTAACATGTTATAAAGTTGACAAAAATATTAATGCGAAATGATAGCGACATCATTGGTCTGATGACATCAGAAAATAATTTTTAACGGTTAAAGCAAACGGTTTGACGCCGTTAAACTAACAACATTCCTTGATTTTATTTTCTGTGCGCTACGTGCTTATACGGGATGTCCCATAATTCGTAACGCATTTTTTGTGGACAGTAGAGAGAATATATTGAACAGAAATGCCATCTATCATTTTTCCGATTGTCTTGCAATAGTTAATAGAAATATTAATTTATAAAAATTCGCCTATATTTACATACAGAAACAGCCATATACTATAAACGGATGTTCTATTTATAGAATCACATTTTATTGAATATATTCTTAAGTATATTTTTCATGGAGTGTCTCAATTTTTATACGGATTCGTAAAGAAATTGTGTAATGATTAATAATAAGCAATTGGAAAATTTAACATTTTCAAAGTTTTGCAAATTTTTATTAAATAAATAATAAATTAAATTTGTTCAGAAAATTGTATATTGGACACTACATTTATTATATATATATATATATATATATATATTGTTTTATATTTAACTATTTTACAGAATTTTTAACATCTTTTGCCAATAAATCATAATTTCAATAACTTTAATGAAAAATAAAAATTTTAGAGTATATAATAAGCTTCTAGAAAATGCAATCTAAAATCGGATCATGTAGTGTATCTTTATAACGTTTTTATGTCATCTTGTGACCTAGGACTTCTTTTTACAACTTATTTGATTGCAGTTGTACACGCTTGTGGATCTACTTAATATTTTTAAAAACAGAAATTTAAAGATATACAACATGTCTTAAAATTGACGTGAGAAAAGAATAATTCTACAATATATATAAAAAATATAGAATATTAAAATCAATATATTAAACTTTTATATAGAATCTTGTTTTCGAAAAAAAAATTAATATTTATCAGATATACGTACATCTAATGTTTATTTTTATTAATGTTAATTTTCATTATCAATCAACATGTTTTATCTTCCTGAAATATCCTTTTGATATTACTATATTATGTTCGTAATCACAAATGCGTGTGAAAACGCATGACTGATAAACATTCAAAGTTGTTTCTTTAAAAAACGAAGCCTGGTATAAAAGAGTTTTATTTTAAACTTTTTATTTTTTTATGTAACCTTCTTTCTATTTGTACTGGTTTTGGGATACTCTGTATAATCAAACAGATGTTACGAAAACAAAATTTTTTTTTCATAAAAAGAAGAATTAATTCCATTGATCGCAGTAACTTTGTTTTTCTTATATTATCAATGTAATTATCGTGCGATTTTTTTATTCTTTAGGTACATTTAACATGCCAGCCGACATCGTAGTTACGTCGGCCTCGGCCACGGTTTCGGAGGAGACAAGTAGAGGTCGAGATCTGGGCCTTGGACCATCTCCAAGATCAGGCCCCTCTTCCGCAGCCTCGTCCTCCTCCGGTTCTAGTGCGCCGTCGACTTCGAGAGGATTCGATCCATCTGGCACTCTCGCCGCTTATCATCATCATCATCATCGTCACAGTTTGGTAACCAGTCTGGGCCATGCCCATCACCGGGAATCGTCAGCCTTTGTGCCTGTAGTGCCTTCAAGATTACAACTCGCTCCGTATCCAGGTGAAATACATCCTCATCTACCCGGACCACCGCCCTCTTCCTCATCGTCAACAAATTCAGAACACGAAGTTGGTCCCGAGTCTTCAGCCAGAAAAAGTTCCTCAAATTACGATATCATGGCGATGATGGTTGACAAAAGAAAAGAATTAGCGAGAAATCTTATATTACCACCGCATCCTCTCCTTGAACCACCTGGATATCCAGTCTTTCCTGGTCCTTTTCCTGGCAGTTCTGCTTTGTATCCTCCGGGTGGTCCGTTAACTCATCAACATTTGGATCGAAGGTTACTTAGAGCACCTGGCAGGGCATCCAGACCCAAGAAACAATTTATTTGTAAATTTTGTAATCGACAGTTCACAAAATCGTATAATCTTCTCATTCACGAGAGAACTCATACTGACGAGAGGCCATATTCCTGCGACATTTGCGGAAAGGCTTTTAGGCGGCAAGATCATCTTAGAGATCATAGGTACGCGATACTTGTTTATATTGGAATTAATTGATTAAATTCAATGAAGTAATAATATATTAATAATATAATAATAATTACACAAAAAAATATTACATAAAAAATTAATTTATTTGGATTTATCGTATGTCTGTTGTATTAATTTGTTTTGTAATTTAAAAGATTTGCAGTAAAGTTAATGATAGTAAAAAAGATATGAATAGTAAAAAATGTTAATAGATCTGTTTTGAAATGTAAAATATCAAATTAAGTTTTAAATTAAAATACAAACTTTTTAAAAATTATAATTTATTATAATTATAGATATTATTTGTTGATATTTTTTTTTTCTTAGGTATATTCACAGCAAGGAGAAGCCTTTCAAATGTGGCGAATGTGGTAAGGGCTTTTGTCAGAGTCGTACTCTAGCAGTTCACAAGATTTTACATATGGAAGAATCTCCACACAAATGCCCCGTTTGCGCGAGAAGTTTCAATCAGCGCAGCAATCTCAAGACGCATCTTCTGACGCATACAGATCACAAGCCTTATGAGTGTACATCGTGCGGTAAAGTATTTCGTAGGAACTGCGATCTTAGAAGACATGCATTGACGCACGCAGTGGGTGATGTTCCTCCGGAGGCGTTGGAGGAAGCATTGAGGGACGATGACAGTCCCGAAGAGGATTGTTCTGAGCCTGGACCATCGTCTTCTTCATCAACATCCACAACATCATCCGTACCTTCCGCATCGTCTAGTTCATCCGGATACCCTCCTCAAGGATCTTCAACACAACAGCCATCTACTACGCCTGCAGCATCTACTACAGCACCGCCCCTTCCTCAGAGACCTCAGCTTCAGATCAGAAGGGATTTGCTCCCCACAGTGAAGCCATCAACGATAACCAGTGGCGCATCTCCGGCTCATTCTGTCACTCAAAACCCACCGGCTGCTCTTCCACCACCACCACCACTCATTCTGGCTTCTTATCGACGAAGAATTGGCTCGCCAGGTCCTTCCAGAGCACTTTTGGAACTTCAAGAACGTGAGCGCGAAAGAGAACGAGAGATGGAACAAAACAGAGAAAGAGAACGCAATAGGGAACGTGACAAGGAATTGGCCAGACCACCGAGAGCTCCAACTCCGCAACCGCCACCGCCACCGCCTAGACCTACACCGGCACGCCAGGGTTTTACTATTGCAGATATAATGGGTCGATAGAATATTTGTCGCAGGTAGTTTTCCTAAGCTTAAATTTCTTTCATAAGCACTATAGATATTATCCGAAGGAGGGATACCAGTCTTCACAAAGAATAGAGCTTTTCTGAAAGTTTCACGATATTATAAGATTTTGGAACACGTAAAAGTATGATTAATAACTTGTAGAATTTGCCAAAAAAATCTATGATTTACATGTATTATTGCTATTATAGTGCATTTTTCATGTAAATATGACAGAATTTAAATCTGTACAATAAGCAGATAATATTATTAAAAATATCTTTCTAAGTCTTCCAAAAATTTGTATTCGAGATTTTAAAATAATTATTAGATTCAAAAAAACTTAACCTCTCATTCCATATAATTATGTTATCTTTTTATACTCAATATAATAATATAGAGAAACAAATTATTAATAATTTGATGTACATAATTTATAATGTATAAGATACAAGAATTTTATAAAATTATATGTCTAGTATGTAATATTATAAAATTATATATCTAGTAGATTTGTAAAATTATATTGAACAAAATAATTACAAACATAATAAAAAGATCTTTTTATTATTATATAATTTGAGATATAAAATACCTAGAGAATATTTTTCTAGGAATGAGACGGTTAAGCAAACACATACCAAAAATGTGCCTTAATAGTTTGTCACTAGAGATGCTCTCGCTTCAATTTTAATAGCTTCTTCCTGCTCATTAATCGTGATGCAATAGAGAAAATAAAAGAGACATTAAGAGACCACGAAATATTCTGGCGGAAACTACGGCGAAGTATTCTTTTGTCCTGCAGTTGTTCGAGAGAGGGGATAATGCAAATTTTGCGGTCGGGGTAACAACCTGTGCCTATGCCACTGTGGCAGGTGCAATACAGCTTTGTACCTGCTCGATTCCGCGCGCGAAATACCTGCTCCCAGCTACCGCTGCTGTTACTTTTCCCTTCTAAAAATATTCCGACCCTAGACGAATATCAATACTTTTTCTTCCTTCTCTGTCCTTCCATCCCTCCACGTTTCTCGTTTCTCGTGCCTCGATGCAAGGAAGCATTAATGGTCCTTTTGTGAGACCCAAACTGTACACCGTCCGACCGCAGAGGCGAACCTTTTGGGCTATGCGTGCCTCTAACGTTTTCAATACAAAGGTATACCTTCTTTTCAGTGGATTTCAAAGAATCCACGTATAAGAATGATCCCTTGGATATAGCTAGCTTTTCTAGCTCCCTAGAATAGCTTTTCATTTTTAATGTGTCTATTGTGATTAAATAAAATTTCGATATGTTCGAATGTTTGAATGTTCGATCAACTACGCGTTAATGCTACAAATGAAAAATACAACAAAATTGGGTACAAAATGGATATACGTCTGAAATAATATTTATTTTAATAGCGAAGTATTGTCGTCTTTTTTAATTATAAATGTACGAGTACATAGATTTTTATATATACTGAGAGAATTCAATATTTCATTAACCACTGTCTAAAACTGAACAGTTGTTTTCACAACGTTTTGTTTTACGCGAAATTAGAAACTAGAAATAAATTAAATTAAATTCTGTATTTCTCACAAATACAAACAGTCGTGTTTATAATATAACATACAAATTATAATATAACAAACAAATTTGAAATTGTAATTGAATTTATTCAACAATAAATTTAAAATTAAATTCTTGCTTTTTTCTTAAATTAATTTAATTTATTTCAGAATTATCTTAATGCCAGCATGTTAATGAAACGTTGTGATAGGAATCTTCTGAATTTTATAAATAACTGCTATGTAACATCGTACATACATTCGCCATTCGAATAATCGAGTAATTGTACATGAGACTATTTGCGTTTTATATGTATAATAATAATAATAATAATAATCATGTAATTATTACTTTAGGTATTTTCGAATTTTTCAAACATGTGAAATTCGAACGTTATAATATTAATTAGAACACAATTAAATAAATATTAAATATTAACAGATTGTATCACGTGTTCAATTTACAATAACTAAAAGTTACATATGAAAGTAAAGTTACATTTGAAAGTAGTCCAGTGAAATTTCCAGCGAAAAGTCCATCCAGATGTAACTTAAAATATGATAATAGTAATAATCTAAACGTTTCAAACAGAAATTTAATTTTTTATATGTATGTATACGTGAGAAAAAGAATGAGATTTTGTGTATACGTATGCGTGTGTGTGTGAGAGCGAGCGTGATAATAATGTGAAAAAGAACGCAAGAAGAAAAACGATAGCGAAGAAGAAAAAAAGAAAGAAAAAATGCAAGGAGAAAAAGACATTTGGTGTATTTTGCAACACAATTTAATGTATAGTGATATATGCAATGTACAATATACTACGTACAACGAGAGCCTGCATCGAAAGTTACATGCGAGCGATCAATCTCCTGTTATTTTCTACGTTATTAGTTTATTCCTCATATCAGTATCTATATTTTTAGATTTATATGAAAGTTAAGCAACTTTGTAAATTATATTAAGAAAGAATATTAAATAAAAAAATGTGGAAAACGGTAGTGGTCATATATTCATTGAAAGAATGTTTTGCGAGATAAATTAAAATTATACTACAGCTAAATTGTACTCAATTGTACTTGAATTTATAATTTACAAGTATAATTTATATAAAAAACTTATAATTAAAATTATCAAAGGCAATGATTTTTTAGTTTAAGATAGATTAACATAATTGATATTTTAAAATGCATATCCTTATTCTTTGCTCATATTTATAAATATTTTAGATATGCAATTTAACATATCGTATAAAAGATATAAAGTAAAAGTTGTACACTAATTTATAATTAATTGATAATATGTTAGAAATTATGTTTGAAGTAAACTGAAATATCGACAGAAACATTTGATCTTTTCTTTCTCGATATTTCTAATGGTATAAAACCGACAGTAAATAACTTATCTGCTAAGTCAAAATTAATAATTCATGTACAAAAATTATAAAATGAATACTTACATAGTTAACAATAATAAATTAATATACATATATTAAATCTAAAAAATACATAAAAATTTATTTACGTCACAGCAAGAGTATTTACCATCTGCTAATTTTTTCACACATGTCCTATGTGACCTTTTAATACTTCTGTCCAGATAGCGCAATAACTTCTGTATGAATCTGCAGAACGAAGAAAAATGCTGAAAAGAATAAAAATGATTTTAGCATTACAAAATGTATGTTAAATTTATAGATAGGTCTATTATACCAAAGAATTGTCAATTAAAATATGTAAATATTCATAATTCTAAGGAAATTGAAATCTAGGTTCAAAGACGCAAACTTTAAGCATGCCTTTAAACAACTTAAAGCATATTGACAATGTCCACTATGTTATCTTAATCCTTTGTGAAAGAAAAAAAATCTTTTGTTTGACGGGAACCTGCACTACAGTACAAACAGTGTGTAATTGAATAAATAAAGATAAGATAATTCTGCGATGTCTTTAAACTTTGTGTTGCATTCTCAATTTTCTGCAGAAAAAAATTTGTGAATATAGACAAAAATATCAGTAAATTAAATATATATATATA